TGTGTGTGTGTGTGTGTGTGTGTGTGTGTGTGTGTCCAGGTAATTCAATCGGCACCCAAGCAAGCGCCGGCGCCAAAATTTTGCGAGTGGGTTTTCCGGTCAAGTGCCACCCCAGGACCGCGGTACCAACCCTCAAGCATTTCTTAGCCCTACATACGAGCGCCTCAAAGCTTTGGGGGGAAAATCGCTAACTTAGGAACCAGAAAAGCTAGAAAGCTGAAATTTTGGGATTATGTCTTCAGTCCATATAGAACTCAAAGATTTTAAATTCAGCCCCGGTTATGCGTGGTTGCCACTTACGGCCTCGTGAAATTTTCTGGCTGAAATTTGGGTAGCTCGGGGACTGAAAAAGCTGAGAATCTGGGATTTCAAGAGCATGTTCCCTATCCAAGTGTAGCTTGAATAACTAACTTCCCGAAGTTCGAGGAAAAGTATGTACGAGAGGTTTCTAGCTGGCGGAGTTTCGAGTGATCTGATTGCAGCACAAAGCATTGCAAAAGCGCATGGTCGCACGGGCCCGCCCAGTACGCGTCGTCAGTGAGTTCATTCTCCAAACCAATGTAACATTCCCTAATTGTGAACTGAGCCCTTTTTAATGGATTTTTGCATCTATACAATACGGAAACGCGTATTATCGAGGGACATCCTACGTGTGTGCGTCTGTATTTTCGCCCGCATCGATTTTTCATCTCAAGACCTACAAACCTACAAAGCTGAAACTTTGGGAACTTAATTTACATGCACTGCGGGCCCCCATCCGCTCTTGCCCGTATGGTTCTCAAGTACGCGCCCGTGCAAGTTTTTAGCGAGAAAGTTGAAATTTAAAGGAAACATTCACAAGCCACGTAGAACTTAATGAGTTCGAACCCAGTCCCAGATGAACGTGGTTCCCACGTACGGCTCGTGAAAATTTTTCAGGAGTAAACTGCTAACTCGAGAACCAGAGAAGCCAAGGAGTTGAAATTTATAGAGGATGCTCCACGCCAACTTACAGTCCAGCGACTTCAAAATCAGCCTGCATATGTGCGTGTTTTTCACATAGGGGCCCGCGAAAATCTTTGGCGGATAAGTTGCAGCCGTGCACAACAGTTAC